CTCCAAAGGTCATCTTTAAAGAGAAAAAAATGGTTGAGCTCAAAACTAAGCAACAAATCTCAGAGATATCAGAGCCATAAAATACAGTCAGCTGCCTGCATTTTTGGGTGGGAATAGCCTTGCCCTGTGTCCCTGGAAGGATCACAGTTTCCTCCTGTCTTAGTTTAAGAAACAGGGTGAAAATTTTTTTTTCTTTAGTTACATTCAAAAGACCGGGGATCAGCTGATAGTTTTGTCTAGCTTTTGCTGGAGAACCTCTGGGAAAGTTTCCACGGCAGCATGTTCCCACCTGATACACCTTCACCACAAGTGTGGAGGAGCGGGGAGGTGAGGGAGACCCGCATCTCTCCCCGCAGCCAGCGAAGTCACCTGGGGCTGGGCAGGTGACTGATGCGGGTCCCGGCCCCGCCACGGCCCGCTGGGCTCATCTGCCTCGACCCGCTGCAGCCGGGCCGCCCGCGCTGCCTCACCTGCTGGCGGCCGAGCCGGCGCGTCCCGGAGCCGCTCCGACAGCTCCAAAGGGAGGGGCGGCTTAGCGAGACCTCGTGCTCCCATTTCCAAAGGCTCCACCTCGGCTCCCGGCTCCGCAGCCACCTGTGCGCGCCCCGGGCGGGGCGGGGGCGGGCGGCGGGGCCGGGCCGAGCAGCGGGTCCCTCCTCCGCCGGTGCCCGCGGGCCGGACGGGGAGAGGCTCCGGCAGCGCGGCACGGCCGCGGTCTGACCCGGCGGAGGCTCCGCCGCGCTCCGAGCCGGCACCGGGAGGAGCCGTGCCCGGCTCTGCCGTGCCCTGCCTGGCACCGGGAGCGGCCGCGCCGGCAGGTGCCGGGCCGGGGGCAGCGCGTCCCGGCGAGGGCAGCGAGCAGGATCATGGACAAGCTCAACAGGCTGACAGTGCCGGCCGGGGAGAAGTTCAGGTAGGGCTGGACCGCTCGCGGTCTCCTCCGGGAGCGGCACCGCGCGGAGGCTCGTGCGGGAATGGAGCGGTGGGATGAGCCGCTTCCCGCAGTGGCGTTGGGGGGGGGACTGGGAGACGCTGGGACACGAGGAAGTTGGCAGAAGCTTTGTAGTAAAACGGAGTTATCACCGGTGACCGGGGCGCTGCCGGGAAATGTGGGAGGTAAACACACTTAGTGATTTCAAAGCAAAATGTGCGTCGGCTTCACCTGCAGCGCGATGAGGAATGTTTTCAAAGTGTCTGTTTTCAAAGTCGTAAGAAAATAGTCTGTGATTCACTAAGATGAGCCTTATGCAAATTAGAAAAAATTAATTGCTTAATGGTTTAATGCCCTACGAAGATGGCGTTTGCAGTTAAGTTCTGTAATGTTTCCTAATCTTCGAAAGAACTGGTGGAATAGGGGGAAATGGAAAACGGGAAATGTTCCTAACTGAAGAACAAAGTTAAATACAGGGTTTGAGAGGAAAAAAAGCAGAAGCTGGCCATTACTGAAGTATTTTTAGTGTGACTCGATTGATGTACTGGTACAGTTGGCACCTCAAGGCTCTTTCATTGTGACTGGTGGTTTCTTTTCTGAATAGCTAAAAGAAGTTCTGTTTCAGATTAAAGTAACATAGAAACTTTTTCTTCGCCTGAAAAAAAAATAAAATAGTGAAAAATATTTTTTCCTAAAGTAACTCATACTTAAACACTCAATACTAATTTATAAAACTTTCTCAAGTCTCTCTCCCTCTCCCCAAAAGCCTTAATGCAAATCGGAAAAAGCTAATTTTGATGCAATGCCATTTCTTGATATCTACTCTGTCCATACTATTGGCTGGGAATGGGAGAGGTGGATGTACTTAGAGAGCTGCAGTGACACTTACATTCCTCAGTCAGGCATACCTAATAAAACCCTAGCAGACTGCATCCTGCAGCCCAGCCCAGGCAAGAACTCTGTGTAAGAGGATGGGGGAAGAAGATGGTGAATTTTCTCATTGTCTGCAATTTATCACCTTAAGTAGTCTAAACTGATCTAAATGGTTTCAAAGCTTAGTATTGGTCTAAACCAGCTATATTAAGATAATAAACTGAGGAACAAGATGGAAAGCTTGGTTCTATCAAGACAGTTACTGGTACATAAAGAAATAAAGCACACTCTCTCTGCTATCATAAAATTGTAGCTGGGATGAATCTTCTGCACTTTTGCAAACCATTAAAGCAGGATTACTTTCAAGCACCCAGAGACGGTCTATCTATATATGAGGTTTATAATGGTCCACAACTCATTGATGAACTGATGCATCACACCTCTGCTGCATCTTCAGTAGCTGACACTTTATGTACCTGATGTTCTTCATCTTGTCTGAGGTTTTAATATTGTTGTAAAATAAGGAAGAGGAGGAAGTAACTCTGTTTTCCTGTATTAACTTGAAGTATTAAAAGCTATTTTTCCTCTCCTCCTCATGGCCAATTCACCCTAGTTGTGTAAGGAATGTAGGAGCACACGTTTCTCAAATGTGAGCGCTTCTCAGCATGTGCTATGGAAGTGCATGCATGCTTTGATTTGAGCATGTTGAAATACATCCTTAAACAGAAACCTGGATATTTGGCTACATGATCTTACTGTGGCATCAAGCATTTTAAAACCTTAAGGCAGGACTTTCCATGAGTAGATATTCATAAATTTAGAGATGTGCAAATATAGGAAGAGATCAGTGCAACATGGCGGCAGCCTTTTCCTCCTCCTTTGAAACAGCTGAATACCCCCTTGTGCTGTGTGACTTGTTAACAAAGTAGTTGACTTCCTAATATAGCTCTGTCAGTATTGAAGACACATAGATGGTTCAGAGTGTGTACTGAATGTTACATGAACTAAACAGTTACGTTAAAAACATACCTTTCTCCATATGCTAAGATGCAATGCCAAGAAGTATTCTTGCCGAACATAGTTTCAACTGTAGTAATTACAGTTCACATTTTTTTAAAGACAGCTTTCTTAAAATTCTGCTCTGTAGCAGCAAAAATTAAAGAAGCACTGCTGTTAGTCAGTGTCTGAGAGTAGATATTTCGATTTTTTTTATTTTTTTTTTTAAGTGTGGACCTGAAAAACTAGATATTATGTGGCTTTGGTAAGCTCAGCTATTCTCCTTGGGTATATTTGAGCCTACCAGACCTAGCTTTTTGTTGTGTCAGCAAATCTTATGTCAGATCTGAATTCTCAACGTATTCCATTTGTTAAGTTTATTGCAACAATAAGAAACATAAGTGTTCTTACATGCCTCTCATCTAACATGTTGTGGTATGTAAATTGTTTGCAGTTAAGTCACTCTATTAACTTCAATATCAGTCAGATAGGAATGCTGGAACTCCATGGAATTCTGGTATTAATCTTTCTGTAGTGTTTCTTATAAGGCATGCACAGTATTATACAAATATTCCCTCAGAGTTCGTTATGTGTTCTAACTACTTCTATATAGTCAGAAAAAATTAATTCCGAGGCTTGGTTATTTATTGTGAGTGGTGCATACAAATAATTTGGTACTTTGAATTGTTTTGTGAAGTGTGAAGTGAATACATGAGCAATAGCTATGCTGCCATGGCAGGCTCAGCCTAAACTTCAGGGAAAAAAATTATGCTGTAAATTTATACAGAAATAGATTCACTCATGATCGGGGAGAGTAGGCAACATGGGTAACAGGAAGTTAGCAACTCAAAAGATACAGCTCTAAACTTGCAGACTCTTTTGTGGTTCAACTTCCTTAGACTATTAGCCTATGATTCCTAGTATTTGAATAATTTCTAGCTGCTATATATGACTTGTGTCATAGCATCTTTTCAGACTGGCTGCATTTTTTTTTATTATGACCACAAACCTTAATAATGATGCTCTGCTCATAGCTGCCTTCAGCTGTGTATCACAAAATCCTTTTCAAAGACATCATTTCCATCACCATTGCAGCCATGGGCAAACCAGGGCATGAACCAGAAGTGTGCCACATGCTTTCACTTTCCTAAGGTCACGCAGTTAGCAACTTCCAGATTGCAAACAGACTTTCGCAAAAGCAGAGTTTTGTGTTTATTAATTTGCAGCAGTTCTTCCCCCACACTCCCTAAAAGAAAAAAGTCTTAAAATCACTATCTCCAACCATAACTCCCAATTAAAAGCAAGTGGAAAAAAATAGCAATTGACTTTTTTTCTGAGATTGAACAAGTGCATCCAATTATTTCCAGTATTTTGTATTCAAATCCCTTGCTAAACAGGAGGTTTTAAGCCCTAATTCTATGAAAATCAAGAGGAGTTTCCTTAAGGCCTGAATGTCTGTTAATTGTCTATCAAATTTGGAGCTGTTTATGATCTTCACTAATTTTCTACTGATAGAGACAGCTTGGCTGTAATTGCTAGGTCTTTTCTTTACCACAGGATTTTCTGGCACTGTTTCTTCTTTAAAGTAGACAGTAGAAAATTGATTCCTTTGGGAGAGGAATGATATTTAGCTGTAAACTGATACCTTCTATGCATAGAATGCTTTATCATAGTTAGCATTTGCTTTTGCAGAAAAATGGGGAATATCTGAACAATAGTTCCTTTTAGTTCCTTTTAGTTGTAGCAAACCGAAACTTAATCTGTTTTTTCAGGTTAAAATTTAACATAGTTTATTGCATCAATGGACTTGAACAGGACAAAAGAACAAAAATAAACTCAAGCAGGAAAGAAATGGGAGTTTCAAAGTAAGCTAAAGACTGTTCTCTGTGACAGAACTGGGCATCAAACCCACATCCACCTTCAACACCTCGTCCTCTTATTAGTTATATAGACTCCAGAAGAAAGACTATGTAAATGACAGAATGATAGAAACATCTAATTGTTTGGGTTGGAAGGGACCATCTAGTTCCCATCCCTCCGCCATGGACAGGGACATCTTCCACTAGTCAACCTGCCCTGGAATACTTCCAGGGATGGGGCATCCACAAGTTCTCTGGCCAACCTGTCCAGTGCCTCACCACCCTCACAGTAAAGAATATCTTCCTAATATCCAATCTAAACCTACTCTTTTTCACTTTGAACCCGTTCCCCCTTGTCCTATCACTACATGCCCTCGTAAACACTTCCTCTCCAGCTTTCTTGAGGCACTGTTCAGGTACTGAAAAGCTGCAATAAGGTCACCCTTGCATATCTGAAATTAGGTCAGCCTTCTCCAGGCTGACCAATCCCAATGCTCTCAGCCTTTACTCAAAGGAAAGGTGTTCCAGCCCTCTGATCATTTTCAGTGATTCAAATGTGAAGTTACTTGGACACTGTTCAGTGGTCTAAAAGCCCAAATAGAAACTGTTCCACATATGAGATTTTTCCAGACCAACCTCTTCTAATTGCTCATCGCTGTCTCCTCTTCACAAGCCATGGCCACCTCGCTTATGCTCTTCTACCTGATCTGGTGTTCTCCTCTTTCTAGCAAAAGTCTAATCTGCCTCCAGCCTCAGGCCCTAAGGAGATAACAGCTGTGAAGGTCTTCTTGCCACCTCCACCAGTCTCCTGTCTTCTCCTCACAACTTTCCACTGCACAGTAACATTCTGTGATGACAGCAGCTTTTGTGGCATTCCCATGTTTAAGCCCACCAAAATGTAGTCTGAATGCAAGGTCACATGACATCAAAGTCCAATGGTATGCAGTTTTCAAAGTTGGATTTCACAGGCACGGGGGAAAAGGAGGTCACCAGCTATGTTTGCTGTGCTGATGAGTACAAACAAAAGTTTTCTGTAGGATTGCTAGGTTTAGCTTGCCCTACAAAGGACAGGATTGTGATTAAAAGATACAGCTATATATTCTCTATTTCTTCTAATTTTCTGTCAGCTTAAAGAGTTCTGAATCTCTCTCATCTCTGGACTTTGGAATGGAATGAGATAGGAAATGCAAACTTCCCCAAATACCACTGCAAAAATCCATTCTTTCACTCCCAGTGTGACTTCTCCACTCAAATCCTCTTGCTTCTCCTTTTGACCTTGCTTCAGCGTAGCACAGCCTCCATCCCATCTATATTTGTTCTCCTTTATTCCTTTCTCTCTGCACCATTTCATTATTCCAATCCCTTTAAAGCTTCTTTTCTTCTTTTCAGCTACGTCATTCTGCCTGGACCAATCTCCAAGCTAAAAAAAAAAAAAAAAACAACAAACAAAAACCTCAAACCTGAAACATGCTACTTTTTACAAAAAAAAATCCACAAACAAACAAACAAATAACCACACAGTATTTATTCTCACACAGAACTTCCTGCCTATAATGCTGTTTATAGAAAAGTATGTTTGACTGTGATCTACGCGTATGTTAAAAAAAAATATGGTAACGTGGACAAAATGGGAAATCTGTGTATGTAGACAGCAGTGTAAGAGTGTAGCCTCTTCACAAGATGAGCTATACTTATACAGTACCTATAGTTTCATTCTACTTGTGCTGGCAAAATTGTGCAGTCGTTGGCATAGCTTGTTCCACCACTGCTTCATATGCACACTCTTCCAAATGAAATTAAGTCCTGTAGTGACAGTGTAGTTCTGCCAAAATAACTGTCCACAGTAGGAGCATTTGTCCACTACAGCAATCACAAAGGACACCATCTTAGGCCTGCGACTGTGAGTTATTCAGCAAAAGTGACTAATTTAGATTCAATCTAATGACTTGCCTTTTTTTTTTTTTTAGTCAAATAATAAATGATCACTAGCTAAGCAAATAACCCAATAAATTAATTTTCTTGGCTGTGGAAAAAAAAACAACCCACATTTCAACAAACTTGGTATAACCATCTTTTACTGTTAGTTTATAACTATACCCCATCCAGCTGGGCAGACTGCTAGATATTAGATCATAACATGATATTGCAGGTACCCAGTGGTATGTTGATCCCAGAACAAACCTGTCTTGTGTTTTACAGAACCATTCAAAACTTATATACTGTACACTACATTATAATGTGATAGATGCTTTTTCTTTTGGAAGGCAAATATGACAATCATAAAATGTTGCAAAAAAAGCCCTGCTGGAAAACCATATTTGTTTATCACGATGAAGAAAAAGAGTTCTCACAATAGTAGAAATTCCTGTAAATACCTCTTTATTTGAAAATAAGTACTGTTTTTAATGGCCTCCTTTCTCACCTTGGAGAATGCCTCTGCTATTTGATTGCCTCTCTGAGAGCTGTCTGATAGTGCTTGGAACCAAAGCTCTTGTAAATCAACAGCTGAAATAGTTAATTAAGAGTAAGAGAATCAAGTTCTGCTTTTGGTGAATTTAGTGTTGGAAAACCATTTAACTTGATCAAAAGTCCTGACTACCAGTTGTAACAGGCCAGATATGATGTAACTGGAACATTTTTAAATATCCTGAGCATTGTTTTGGGTTTTTGTTTTTTGGGGTTTTTTAACATCTTCAGATGTGTAAATCATATTTTTAGATGATTTAGAAGTCGCTAATCATTAGAAAAGAAATAACATTTTTCCTCACCACATAGTTTTTTCCTTATGTTTTTGTGGGGGTTTTAAAATGATTGCTGCATTAGAAGACTAATTTTAGTTTTGGATAACATCTTTTATAGTGTAAGTACCCTAAAGCATGTTACAATATGACAGATAAACAATTAGTCTTTTAGAAAGCAAATATCACTGGTTTTATGTGCTCAGCAGCCAAGAGAATTGGAAAACTGATGGAAAACAGTGACTGAAAGTGACAGTATTTTCCTATTTGGCTGCAGGGAATCATCTTAGATCTTTGGTAAACTGTAAAAGGACTTTACATACTCTGTAAATAAGTTTGTTTTGTGGCAGTCATAATAAATGACTGAGGGGTAAAAGACATTTGAAAATTCTGTTAGCATCTTTATCCTAATCTGTCAGTCTATACATTTTGGACAGGCTCATTTTCCAGGTGCAAGCAAACCCAGATGTGCAATTCTACAGGTTTATGACATCAACATAAATTAGTACACAGTAAATACTTTAGAAAGAATTAAAATAATGCATCCCAAGGCAATAATATGAAAACATGAGTATATATTTTTCAAGCTCAATGCAAGGGCAACTGGGTGAAGTTGGCTATGAATGCAAGTGGCTATACCATATGGCTAAATGTTTCCTTCATTCCTCTGTCTTAAAACAGAGAAGCTACAGGCATCTCTGCAAGAAGCACAGAGGCAATGAAGCACTCCTGGAGCTGTAGTTACATGGCCAATTTAACTTAGCACAAGTCTGAGCTGCTGCCAAAAGAGTAGGTCCCTTTCTTGCACCCTCCCAACATCCCTGCTTGCCATGCCCTCATCTCCACCCTCACACTGGCACTAGAGTTCCAATGACCATGTGAAAGCTGGATCTGATCCTGCTGATATATAAACTGGCAAAAGAAAAAAGAAATTAGTTTCCCAGCTGCAAGTTCTATGATTCATCATAGCTGGGTAAGCACCGAGGGCATTAAAGAGTGGAATTTCCTCTTTCAATGGCAGCCTGTGTGGGCTCCATTAAAGTGACTTAGAGACCAAAGTACTTTTCCAAAGTTTTAACAAATTTTGATAGGCTTCAGAACAAAACAGATCCATGAGTAGCCTCTATTAGATCCCTGTCATTGCCACCCCACACCTGTGGTGGATATAATGCTTCTGTCGCTTGAGCAAAAACACTTTCAGCCCAAGTACAGCAGTGTTTGTTAGTGGTAATTTTCTGGGTCCATACCAAATCCTGTCTTTATTCACTTCCCTGCAATGACTTTGCGCTTCCTCTTTTTGGTGAAATATAAAAACCCACTTTCTGACTTTCTGCCCTTGCTCTCCTTCACCGACCAGGCTGTAGGGTACTAGTCCTTCAGGGAGGTACAACACTCAGTTAATTTTAGCTGGAACTGTATTTCAAAGTAACATCCTGCTGCTGGGAAACCTTTCAGAAAAAATGGAGTAAGCCTTTTGAATGTGGCTTCTGTGTGTGGTTACTTTTTGTTTGTCTTATAATGCATTAACTTATATCCAGAAAGCTGCTGCAAAAAGGAGATCAGTTAACTAAAAAAAGATTCAAAACAGAGCAGGTCAGTTACAGAACAGAAAATATACTTTTTATGTCAAAAAGTGACATGTAATATTCATATTACATGTTTCATATTATAATAGCTAATTGTTTTCTGTACTCTCTACAGTATCACTAATATCCAGTTGGGATAAAGGGGAATCTGGGTAAGGGCAAAGAGGTGCTCAAACCTCAAGTGCTTCAAGTTGTTGTTAAATATCTATATTTTTTAAAAGTTGTACTAAAAAGTGCTTGTCCATCACTGCTTTCTGATATTCAAAACTGGCTGTCAAGTCAAAAAATCAAGTCAACTTTTCTCTGCTAAATAAAAGAAAAATGTCATTGCAAAAAATACCGTACAACTTAAACACATGAAACCTTTGTTGTTAATATACAGTCCATACATATTCAGAACAAGCCTCAGCCTTGATCTAAAATGAGGAAGCAGTTGCACCACTCAGTTGGTGACATTGATAAGGCTTTAGTTTTCTTTGTCCCACTGAGAAATCTTCATGAGTTCTTTCAATATGCAGAATTCCCAGTCACCTCAAAGTACTTATTCTTTCGTGTTAGGATTGATTTGTGTCAAGGACGTATTATGCCTTTACACGCTACGTATTTTTATTTACTCTGTGTATGTTAGTACTTAGTAGTACAAGAGGGACTGACAGCTTCTTTGTGAAGATTATGTAGAAGGTATATGAAGATGAAAAGTATAATCAATATTTAGCTTTTCTGTGCTTCTGTGTGTACAATGTAAACACACACCTGCTCTAATTATGGGGTTTGCTTTTAGGCAAAACAGTGCATGATTTAGAAGTGAGCAGAATAGGATGTTATTCAGACTTCTTAAGAAATCAACACTTGGCAAAATGACTATAAATTATTTATAGTCATTTCCCCGTGTGCATCTCATGAACACAGCAGAAGACAATTCCTTGTTCCCTCTTCCTCAGATAGGTAGCTGTAATTGACTTCTCCCCACGAGCAAACTTCTTTGAACTTTTCTTCACAGCTTTGAGATAGCTTTACAGATAAAGATCAAAGGCCTGGTGCCTTGAATGGATGGTTTGGTGTCACAGGTTACCACCTGCAGCTCCAAACTTCCTTCTATCCCATCACAAAGGCCTTTGCAGGGGATGGGTTATGATAAGCACCCAGAGTGGATGAGGAGCTGTAGCCCCCTATCTTTGACCAGCAGCAACTAAAGTAATTTATCTGACTGCACCTCAAGAATTCAGCTCTGTCTTTATTCATGTAACAGCCATTGAAAACACCAGCCCCAACCCAGCCTGTATTCTGTTGCAAAGGACTTCACTCTCGCTGTTCCAGGTACCATCTGATATAGGGGTGCGCTCATGCAGAAATCTGAAGCATCTGAAGGAGGTCCAACAAGAGGAATTAGATGCTTTCTGTATTTGGGCATTTCCTTTTGCTTTCTATTGAGAAATTGGAGGAGGTGAAAGGGGGTACAGTTTGTTTATATCATTTGATTGGGTTTGTCTTAGATGCACAAAACTGTCAGAAATATGAAAATACATCTTACAAAGACACCCAGTCCACCAAGATCCACATTGTTCCACAGAGATCACATCAGGAGCACTGTATTCATGAAAGCCCTTCAAGGGAAAGGGGAGCCTTTTCTTGTTTGTGAAATTAGTTTGAGAAGATAGTTCAGGATAAAAGCTTCAAGCTTTTCAAAATCTCAAGTGGTACTTTAACAAATCCCCTTCTAGATAAACAGGTTCTTCCCACAAAAGCAAGCATGAGTCTTCCCCTTGGTCCAGAAACAATAGTTTTCTTTCTTATTTTGGTCACCTGCATAGCTGTTTACAAAATTGAAGGCTAATAGAAACACAAAACAAAGACCAGCTGGGGTGTAGTGGAATAATTGTGCCATGAGAAGCCATAAAGGAGGGGTCTTTGGATGCTGTTCCTTCTTTAGTTTCATATTTTAATGTGTTTTTTTAAAATTAACAGAGGTAACTGTATTTTTAATTTTCTGTTCTTTGAGTTGTGGGGTTTATCTTCTAATAACTTCGCTTTTGTTCTGCAAATTCCAGTATACTTTTCCTCATTTCTGTTTTGTGGTTCTTTTCTATAAAACTATA